ATGAAGGAACCCTTACAGATAAACCACGTAACTGGAGATGAGGGTACATAACTCTGGGGAGTTAGGTCGATGACAAGCCTTTAGAAGGAACAAGACAAGCAACGAGATAAATGATGTAGAGGACAAGTTATGGTTTTAGTACGACCACCATTGGACGAAAAGTGGAGGAAAGTGCCACCAAAGTCTAAAGCATGCCATGTAGAAGACAGCGGGGAGTCAATAAGTAAGAAAAGATATGGAATGTGAGAGGGAATAACAGTTAGCTGGTAGATGACAGTACAAATAGAGAACCACTTCTCAGAAGTGCGTGAGTTGGATACCAAGATAACACCGAGTTAGAAGGAGGATAGTAGAGACCCTACAAACTACCCAGATCACAAAATGTCAGGAGGATGCTGGGACCGTTGGAAGGGGTATACAAGAGTTCCCGATGATCTGTTATGGGATTGTCCTCTCTTAAATAGGGGAGCACCTAGCCCCCTAGGGTACATGAGAAGATACTCAACAGAGTTTGGTGACTGAAAATAGTACAAAGCACCAACAGAAGGGTAGTAAAAGTAAAGAAGCAAGGAGAACACCATAGGACGCTATAAGAAAAAAAGGGTGGTTGTCGACTGGACAATGAATGCGTGAAGGAAGATAGTTGGGATGTGGTCAAGCACCATCGTGAGTAGAAGTCTACCTAGAGAAAGTTTCTAGTGGAAATGTTGGCTCTGAGGTATGGCGAGGAGATACTAAACTGAGTAGATCAAAGCTAGTACCAAGCATTGATGAAGGAGTTGTGGAAGTAAGGAGGAAACCGCGAGGCTATAATGAAAGTTATGGTGAAAAGGGTGGTAGTTGATAAAACGACAAATTCAGGGAGAAAGATAGTTAGGAAGAGCCGGTGAAAGAATACAAAGGTCAACAAGGAGGCGTTAAGGTGATTGTCAGTGGAGAATAAGTTGGACCATAGGAAGCCCATCAAGAACTGAGAAGCTCAATGGTCAACTTTAAAGTAGAAGTGTGGTGGTCCAGAACAGTCGAAGGGAAAACCTTATCGGTCAAGGTACATAAGTGAGAAGAGAATATGGGCACCAAGATGACTACATCGAGGACGAGGGACATATAGAACTAGCGAGAACATCGGTAAGAGGAGTCACGAGTAAAGAAGTAAGATGAATATGAGTTTAGAAAACCTGCTAGGATACCCTAAAGTGAAAGCAATACCGCCTATGCTGGTGAAAGGTGTCAATCTCTCGGGTAAAACTCTATTGGACGGGGAAACCGTATGAGGAATTTCAGCTAGGGTCTAAGAGTAACAGAATGGATAGTACGAGAACTTCAAATTCAGGTGGCGATAAGGAAGTGCTAAGTTAGGTACCAGGAGTGAGCAAGTACGCAAAATGGAAGGTCATGATTCTGGAAAGGATTAATAAAGTTGATCGCAAGCTAGAGAAAGACGCAAAGGATGTCTCTAATGCATACAGGAAGTAGAGACAGTAGCATGAGGTTCCAGCACTATGCAGCAAGTAACGAGGAGGTGACCATTTAGTTTATGATTAATGGATAAGATGTGGCATCAAGGAGGAAAGTAAGAGATTCAAAGTCAGAAGGTACAAGGACCTAGGTGATCTACGTGGGCAACCACAAATGAGGTTATGTTAAAAGAGTTTTGCGATATAACAAGATGGAGGTTGAGCCGCCATTAGTAACCTTTGGGTTGAAAGGGGTATTAAGAATGTCAAACATTCTCTACAAACACTCTATACTTAGGAGAGTCGTTAGCAGTCAAGATAGGGAGGGCGAAGTTCAAGGTCTGGGCCTATTATGAGCTGAAGTTACGACGAGTCACGACCTGAATAGCTGGCTAATAATTTATTTCCCTAAGTTCTTAAGGAATCCTAAGTAGAGACCCAAGACAAATCGTTGAGAACAACAAGAGCTACGAATGCCATTACACCATCAGAGGCATTTGAGAAGGGAGAGTGCCATGGTGCCATAGACGCATTGAGCAAGTAACTAGCTTGAGCAAGAGATTTATGGAAAATGGGTGAGTAATTAGTTGGCGAAGAACCACACGAATTGGAGGCAAGAGTTATAGCTCTAGGTTGTATAAGGTGAAGGAAGTAAAAGTCCTTGCAGCAGAAGGAGTACCTCAAGTGAGACTTAGGTTATCAAGATGAACAAATTTCGAGGTCGAAATTTTCTTAAGGAGGGGGAAATGTGATATCTCGATTCTGGACTTGGGTTGAACAACAACTACTAAGAGAATTGGTGAACATGTCCAGTCAAATCAGCATTTTGTTTCATCACTTTTGGATCAAGTTGTGAAACAAAAAGGGTAGGGAGTCACTCAAGGTTACACGAATGCTACCAGCTAAGGAAATATAAATGATCAAAGTTTACCAATGAAATTGTTATGGTAAGAATAAATGATTGGGGGAAGGAAGTATAAGAAGGGTGTTGATAAAAGGATGAGTTTCGAACAAATTTCGGGGACGAAATTTTTATAAGGGTGGAGGAAATGTAACACCTCGAATTTTGGGTTATGGTTCGACCATAATACGTGAGTGGTTGGATCGACGGTTACGTACGGAGGGTTACAATCGTGGGTTAATTTATAATAATAATAATATAAACTATATTATTATTATTATTATTATTAATGTTACACCCCAATCTTGCCAAAAGTCAAAATGACTATTATACTCTTGGGGGAAATTCGTCAAATTCCATCGTAATATCGATGAGGACTAAAAATGCGAACTCTCAGTTCAAATGGTGTCGAGTTTCGATATAAATCGAATAAGTTACGGACGTTAATTGAGTTGCGGAGTAAACTCAATCGTAATTTGTGAGATTCCCAAAATACCCTCTACCTAATTAAACCCTAGACTCTACTCGGCCTCAACCCAATTAGCAAAGACCCTCGCAGCCTTTTATTTTTTTCAGCGCAACCAACTTGCTCTCGGAGGGGAGGCGGTTGAAAATTGGATGAGAGCCACGGAGAGGTTGGCGCAAAGCAGCATGACGAGATCAAGGAGGCGCCTTGTAACGATTGGGTGGAACAGCCAAGAGGTGGTGGACTTGGGAAATCAAGGTAAAGAGAGGGGGGCCTCTACGCGAGCTGTTTGCTCGGTTGGGGGGAACCAGGCAGTAGGTGGTGGCTTTGCAGAGATTATGAGGTGGGGAAAGTGTCGAGCTTGTTGGATAGGGTGAAAGGTGATGGTCCATTTTCAATTGATGTGATCACAGCTAATACCGCTGATTTGGAGCCATTATTGATGAGGGTAAGCGGTCAGTGTTCGGATTTAAATGGACCAGCTATCCCCCGGCATCGCCATTCTTCTAGTGAGCGGCTGAATGGGGGAAGCAAGGTTGCCAAGGCGTGGTGGTGGTTTGGATCATTTGTCCACTAGTGGCAGTGAATTGGATTAGAGGTAACGAATTATCCCTCTCTCACTTTAGATATAAAGTGTGTCTGGCATTGGAAATTGATTCATGGGACGTGCAGCTCATGTAATGGTGGGGATATGGCTGAGCAAGCCTGTAACAAACAAGTGGAGGGAAAATTCTACGCCTTACGTATTCTTTTAAGTATTATGATTTTAAGTATTTTAGCGAATTGGTTATCGTTGCTTGGTTATGTGTATGATTGATTATTTGTGCTTTGCTTGAGTTATGGGTTGAGATGATTTTGTGCTATTTGAGGTGATTTTGTTTGAGCTATGCTTGATGTGAATGTTTATTAATTACTTTGAAATTTTTATGAGTATAAGTTATTATTAAAGAGTAAGAAACAAGTTCTTTTAAAGAAGTAACTCACCTTAAAGAAGGTGAAGTCGTTTTAAGTGTTTTTAGTCACTAGCGCCAGTCCGTTGCAATTTGAGATTTTCAGATAGAGCAGCAGTTATGCTCTTGAGATCTTTGAGACAGAGCAGCAATTATGCTCTTTAGACTTTTAAGATGAGTAGCAGTTATGCTCTTGAGAATCGTGGTGAAGAGCCACCACGATAAGTTTAAGACGTTAGGGGGATGAATCGTTACGACTTCCCTAACTAAGTTTAAGTTTAAGGAAAGCCTGGATGGCTTCTCATACGTATGAGTTGGCAACCGAACTCCCTAGTGAGGGATCCCCGTGTCAGTCAAGTATTTAAGTCAAGTTTTGAGCTTTAAGAGAGGAGAGTAACTTCAACTCCCTCAAAGTTTAAGAGTTGAGATTTTAAGATTGGAAGTACAAACAACTTCCACTAGTTAAAGTTAAGTGTTTAAGTACTCAAGTACTAGATTTTTAAAACGTAAGGGCGTAGACTGACCCAGACTCACTCACCAGTTTGTAGAGGAAGAAGTTAGAGGAGCAGTTAGAGAGCAGCGGGATCGAGAGAAACAGTTCGAGTGAAGCTAGCTAGAGGAGGACGGCCCGAGCGTCACAGAGGATGCCTAGTCAGAGTTTTTCACACAAGCAGCAACACTTGAGACTAGTTAGTTATTATGTTTTATGATTATGAGTATAGACTGGAGATCAAGTTGAGTTTTTAAAGTTTGATTTAAGTTGCCCACGTGTTAGGGCGTTGCTTTGAACTACAAGAGTGGTTTTTTTATTTATGAAAAATTTTCCCAACTGAATTTTAAGATTTGAGTATTTTATCTATCAAGGGCATTTTAGTAAAAGTAGTACCCGGTGGGTTAGGGTGTTTCATTTAATAATTAGCTCGTTCCCCTCCTTAGTCGGCATCTCCCCAGAAAAACAAAAACCCTACCGCTTGATCTTCTCCCTTTTCCCCGGAACCACCAATCCATTGCCATCAAATATTGAGTCCACAAGAAAATCCAAATCATCGAGGAAGGGAGCGCAGGTAGAATCAACAAGCAGAAGCTTTCCAGAGCAGCAATTAGAGAGAGCAGTAAAGAAGACGAGAAGAAGATCAATGAAAAATCAAGATGATGGGCATTCGTTGGCAATATTCATGAGTTTTATTAATATATATATATGTTCTGTTTGTCCGCGAATCTTTTGCATGAAAGCAATAGGTGCGGTAGTCTCTCGGTGGCGGGTCAAGCGAAAGGAAGCAAGCAATGTTCGGGATCAAGAAGAGGAAGTAAAAGGAGGTGATGGTCTGATGGGTTTGGGAGATGTATTGCAGAGGTTGATCCCTCCGGATCTGATGATCTCGCCCTCTAATGGACAGCTCGTAGGTTTTGGTCGAGCTGTTTCAGATTCAGGATTGACTGCATCCATCCATGATGTGGTGGTAAAGTTTAACTACAAGAAAGATTCCAGTTGAAATTTTTTGTACCATTATGTTGGAAATTTTGGAGTTTGGCTTGTTGAATGGTTGAGATTGCTCAATGAAGCTGGATGAACGATGCTTATTGCATGGATGGGGAGATCGATCAGGCTTTTCCTTTCGCGACTCAATGGTAAAGAAGATGGTACTTATGCACTCCTGTATTTGGATAAAAGAGATCAATACGGGAGCATTCCTCTATCAAGCTGGATGATAATTTTAGTCGATCAACTCGATAAGCAAGGTGAGTGTAAAGGGGGTAAATTCTACGCCTTACGTATTCTTCTAAGTATTATGATTTTAAGTATTTTAGTGAATTGGTTACCATTGCTTGATTATGTTTATGATTGATTATTTGTGCTTTGCTTGAGCTATGATTTGAGGTGATTTTGTGCTATTTGAGGTGATATGAGGTGATGTTGTGCTATTTACCTTAAAGCGTTATGTTTGAGTTATTGTTAAAGTTTAAGAAACAAGTTCTTTTTAAGGAGTAACTCACCTTCAAGAAGGTGAAGTTGTTTTAAGTGTTTTTAGTCACTAGCGCCAGTCCGTTGCCATTTGAGATTTTCAGATAGAGCAGCAATTATGCTCTTGAGATCTTTGAGATAGAGCAGCAGTTATGCGCTTGAGATTTTTAAGATGGGCAGCAGTTATGCCCTTGAGAATCCTGGTGAAGAGCCACCCCGATAAGATTAAGTTGTTAGGAGGATGAATCGTTACGACTTCCCTAACTAAGTTTAAGTTTAAGGAAAGTCTGGATGGCTTCTCATACGTATGTGTTGGCAACCGGACTAGCTACTGAGGGATCCCCGTGTCAGTCAAGTATTTAAGTCAATCTTTGAGATTTAAGATGGAGTAACAGTAACTCCCATACAGTTTTAAGAGTTAAGCTTGTCAATAGTGGAAGTACAAAACAACTTCCACACAGTTAAGTAAGTGCTCAAGTTTTCATAAGATGTTAAACGTAAGGGCGTAGACTGACCCCATCTCACTCACCAGTTTGACGAGCTAGGGAAGGATCTAGAGGAGTAGTTAGTGAGTAGCAAGTTCGAGGGCAGCCAGCTAGAGATGTGCTAGTGAGTAGCAAGTTCGAGGGCAGCCAGCTAGAGAAGTTCAGTGCAAGCGTCACGGAGGATGCCTAGTTAAGATTTTCAGTAGCAGCAACGACATAGACTACCTAGTTTTTTACATTTTATGATTATGAGTATAGACTGGAGATCAGATTGAGATTTTGAAGTTTGAGTTTAATTTGCCCACGTGTTATGGCTTTGCACTGAGCTACAAGTGTGTTTTCAGTATTTTATTTATGAAAATTTTTCCCCCTGCAATTTAAGATTTGAGTATTTTATTTGTTAAGGGCGTTTTAGTAAAAGTAGTACCCGTCCGGGTTAGGGTGTTACAGAGATACACTTTGATCACTACTATGGATGCTAAGTACCTTGGATTTGAGCAAATCAAGGCTGTTTATGAAGGGGATTTTGACTTTGGAGAAATTTACAAGACTTGTGAGAAGCATGGAGAAGGGAAGTTCTATAGAAGTGATGGGTATCTCTTTCGTGGTTATCAATTGTGCATACCTAGAACATCACTTCGAGAGCTATTGTTGAGGGAAGCGCATGGAGGAGGATTAATGGCTCACTTTGGTGTAGCCAAGACGCTAAGTTGTTTGCATGAGAACTTCTATTGGCCTCACATGAAAGGAGACGTGGAGAACTTATGTGCACGATGTGTGGAGTGCCAACATGCTAAATCGAAGATGCAACCATCTGGGTTGTACATGCCACTATCTATTCCTTATGCATCATGGGTCGACATTTTAATGGAGATGCTAGGACTGCCGAAGACAAGGAGAGATAGGGATTCAATTTTCGTCGTGGTGGATCGTTTCTCAAAGATGGCACATTTCATTCCATGCCATAAGACGGATGATGCAAACAACGTGGCTGATTTGTTCTTCAAGGAGATCACGAGGTTGCATGGAATGCCACTTACCATTGTGTCTGATCGAGATGCAAAGTTTCTAAGCTACTTTTGGAAGACATTGTGGAGTAAACTCGGCACAAAGCTTCTGTTTTCAACGACTTGTCATCCTCAAAGGGATGGACAAACTGAAGTGGTCAATCATACTCTATCCCAAATGCTACGAGTCGTGATCAAGAGCAACATCAAAACTTGGGAAGATTTTGTACCACATGTCGAGTTTGCCTACAATCGAGTTGTCCATTCAACAACAAAGCATTCGCCCTTCGAGCTCGTGTATGGGTTCAATCCACTTACACCATTGGATTTGACACCACTGCCCTTGAAGGAACAAGTTAACATGGATGGAGCAAAGAAGGCTGAATTTGTGAAGAATCTCCACGAGAAGGCAAGACTAAACATCGAGAGGAGGACGGAGAAAATCATGAAGAATGTCAATCATAATAGGAAGCCTCGACCGTTTGAAGCTAGAGATTGGGTATAGGTGCACATGAGAAAGGAAAGGTTTACTTATCAAAGGAGATCGAAGCTGTTACCTCGAAGTGAAGGTCCCTTCCAAGTGATTTCGAAGGTTGGAAACAACGCTTACAAGATCGATTTGCCAGGAGAGTATGGGATAAGTGCAACCTTCAATGTTTCTGACCTTGCACCATATTTGGAAGACAACTCGGATTTGAGCTCAAATCCTTTTCAAGAGGAGGGGACTAATGAGGGCATCAAATCCAAGTCCATTTCATCACATGAAGGTCCAATTACTCGTTTACAAGCCAAGAGGATAAGAGAGGAGTTTGCTGCTTATTTGGATCGTCATTATGCTCACATGGACGTGAATCTACATCAAAGGATGCCCGTTACATTGTTACAATTCATGGAAAAGAATGAAGGGGAATTGGGCTTCAAGAGCTAAGAGGATACGGCTAAGGAAGAGAAAGGGAGTCTCAAGTGTGAAAGGAATCAAAGGTGGGAACAAATGGGAAGGGCTGGCGGATTGCAAGGCTAGAATCTAGGTATCTGTTGACCAAGTCTTTTCCTTGTCTTTTAAGGATTGTGTTTTCCTTTTACTTTTCCATTAAGGTTTTGTTTTCCTTTTAATTGTAGGATTTGGTCATTTGTTTGCTTTCTTTCTTATTAGAGGATTGGATTTCCGTTGCCTATATAAGGAGGATGAGTCCCTCATTGTAATTCATTCTATTATCAATCAACTTTCAAGTTTCGAGTTCAAACGAACTGGTTCTTTGTGAAAGCTTCCGTCGAGAGTGCTCCAGAGGTTTCACGTGTCTCTTATCAACTAGAGAACGCGTCTAGTTGTGGCGAGTTCTACCCTATATCAATTGCCCCTTTTCCACGAGTTGGTGTTGTCCGATTGGTTTAATATACCAATTGCCCTTCATCACGAGTTAGGAATTGTCCGATTGATTCCATCCTATCTTTTTATTTTCAAGTTCAAGAAAGGCTACACCAGAAAACCATATTAAGGCGTTGAAGCTGCGTACTTTGGCTCCATCAGATCCTCCACACTCTGCTCAACCGCTCAGTCATCCCCAACCTTCTTTCAGGCTATTTGATGACGAATAGAGGGCTCATTGCCCTCTACTCCATGAGGAGTGCAATAGAGCCGATCCATTTGGGATCGCTGATCACCACTTCTTTCGCCTGGTGTCTGGGGCGGAACAGAGTGGACACCATGCATATTGGGGGCCTAATCATGAGGATAGCCCGACACTTGCAGGTTGATCTGGCTTGGTGCACCAGCGCCGGTAGGATGACTCCCTTCCCAGTGGAGACACAGTACAACCTGAAGTTGGTACTCTAGGAAGAGCGATGAGTGGAGTACCTCGAGGGAATACGACCATCCAGAGTCATCAGAGCAGTAGTTTCCCCGGCTCCAGTGGAGCCTGACCCCGAGGTCCCACCACCAGCAAAGCAACCGCCTCCTCGAGCACCCGGGTGCCGCCGGCGTCCAGCGCTCCAACTCCTAGCACAGCCACCACTACCACCATCTAGTGATCCCCTCGTCCAGGGGGTGGATCGCCTAGAGACAAACTTCTTGGGATTCTCCTCCCTCCTCGACAGACAGACAGATCTCCTCGAGCTGATAGCTCGACGCCAGGGCGTCCTCCCAGATGAGGACGAGGGTCCCTTCACCAGAGAGAGGTATCCAACGATTGAGACATGTGGCAGAGCCAATTTCTTTCGCCCCACTTCTCCACTTGTAACCCTGAACTTGTTGCTTTTATCATTTTTCTTTCTTTTGTGTGTGTATGACTATAAACTACTACTACTACTACTACTACTACTACTACTACTACTACTACTACTACTACTACTACTACTACTACTACTACTACTACTACTACTACTACTACTACTATCATATTGTGTTTGTAATAACCTCGCCTCGAGCGAGTAATATCGTGTTTGTGTGTGCGTTTTTTCTCTCCTTGAAGCTCAAAATATCCTACCCTGGATTTGATTGGGGGGGGGGGTAGTTTACTATTATGCTTGTGTGAGCGTGATTGATGCTTGGAGCCTTTTGTATGCCCAAATTTTGAAATTTGAGGGCTACAAGCAATGTGTGCATGATCAAAGTGGCCGGTGTGTGGGAAATTCTCGTGTTTATTGGCATTAATCTTGAATTATTGCATGTGATCGACTATATACTATGATGATGACTGAGTGGTCCATTAGGATAGGGCAAAAGTTTAGTTCTCAAGTGTGCATAAATGAATGGATGTCTTAACATGATTACTTGTTGATTACAATTTCCATGCATTGCGTTTGTGAATTGGAATAGATGGTTTGGCGACTAGGTTGCCATGTGAGCTTTGTGTCGATCGTTTTCTTCTTGTGTGCTTAGATCCCTCTTACAATGGCGAGTAACATCACAGTTGTCATTAGTGAGTATGATGGAGGCATAAGATTAGTCCACGCCCAAATGTTGATTGTCCCGAAATGTGTTATCCACTAGTCAACTCCTTTGAGCCTTGTGACTTCGAGGGTCGTTCTTAAGTTAGGAG